ACCATGGAAAACGTAAGTAATTGGCTACAAAACATGCCATAATTTCTGTTGTCTAAATCTAAGGTGCTTTTAAAAATGAACAACTGGATCTGCAGTTTGATAAGAACAGCAGGAAGATAAATAAAGCAATGAAAACCCATTAATCAATTCAGTAATTTTTCTTCTGGCATCTTGCACTGCAGCTCAGTATTCCTCCATCTGGCAAAGCCTGTGGCATTGCCTTCCTCTTGGTGCCAGACCTCAGGTGTGCAGCTAGCATGGATTCCCACCATAGAGCTCCTTGCACAGAATTAAAAGGTGAGTTGCCCAGCTGCTCAGAGCCAGGTGCAATGGGTCTGTCAGCTCCAGTTTGGTGTGGCTCTGATGTGCTGTCACCTGCAGGAGTGTCATGAATTGAAGCTGATCCTCAGTGCGTGGATGGGGAGAGGAGGTGAAGGTTTGTGCTGGTCTGGAAAATGAGCAGGTGTGGGATAAACATGCTCACATTACTGAACAGTGTGCCTAGTCCTCCCAAATTAAGAAAATCCAGAGCACTCAGCAGTCCTACCACGGACAAAGGACGACTAAACCTATGTGGGCCATCTGGGAAACAGTCATGTGATGACTAATAAAAGAGAGTTCTTTCAAGTGGCTTAGCCATACAGCCATTTTGCCTGCTTTTTATTCTGAAATCCTCTTATTCCCTCTGAATAAAAAAAAGAGAGGCCATTAGGACAGAGTGATCTCATTATACTAACAGCTCCCAATGTATTTTTCTTCCAATGGTTTGTCCAAACACTTTGAAACATTCTAATACTTGAGCACCCACAGTACCCTCTGGTAGGAGTTCCACAATTAATGTGCTTAACATCTCATTTCCAACCTGCTTTTGTTGCCTGGGCCTTATTTGTTTGTTCTTGTGTTGACATCATCCTTCAGACAGAACACCTCCTCTTTCTTCCTGTTGTTCATATGAATCCTAACTACCTCGATAAACTAAATTTTATGGCAGAATCCTGAAAGTATTTCCACAATACTCAAATCAGTGCTGAATAGAGACAACCAAGACAGTTTAATGTGCTACTTGAGTGTCCAAAGTAGCACAGCAGCCTCCCTTGGCTCAGGAAGATAAATCAACACAAATGAAGAATGAGAGGGACAGAATATTCTTATGCAGCAGCATACAGTAATTTAAAACCCCGTGAAGAAAGAGTGACCATATAGAGCAAAATCCATCAGATTGCTCCATTAGAATCAAGTCACAGCATTGATTCTTTCTTCACATTTACAGGGAAATGCACATTCACACCATGCATTGGCATTGATGCCAGTGTTCTGGCAGGAATTAAGGAATCCTTCTCAAATTAAGGAATACTTCTTGCCACACATAGTTGATCAAAGCAGTCGTGTACACAGAATGGGATGAACTGTCACCTTGCACAGCAGCTCTGCAATTTGCTATTGGGCTCAACTCCTCCCAGCAGCAGCATCCTAAGTGCACATCTACATCACCAACTACAAACACACTGACCACGAGCCTTGATCTGCCAGATGATCCACCTCACCATGTCACCCAAAGTGCACACAGAACTGGCACAGAGAGGAAAAAGCTTTCAATTACTTCAATACTTTCCAAGTCCTGTAAGAGAGACTACAGTGCTCCAGGAGCTTCCTGAACAAGATTTTCCACAGGGAGGGGTAGGTAGGTTTTAGTAACCACTGTTAGCACACTGAGATGGCTCCTGTTTATAAACTGCTGTTTTCTCTTTATTTATCCTGGAAATCAAACCAAGTAGAGCTCAGTCTTCCCACTGAAGTAACATCAACTGTCCCCAGAGTAACAACAGCATTGGGGTGCAAATTAGCTGACACTAGAGGTAAATATTCTAAACAAAATTTAAGATGAATTCCACATTTCTGAAATAGCAAGAGAAATTTATATTAACAAATTAGAAATTTCAAATATTAACCTTGTTCATGTGTGGGTAGAGGTGCAGGGAATATTTTCTGAAACTCCTGCTTTTTTTGTGCTTGCCTAGAGTGGAAACTACAAAGATTTGCCCGTGCGTTGGGGAACAAACGAACAGGATGCAGAGGGAAGGAGAGATGTGCTGTGAATTCTACAAAGATTTTTGTTTCATTCAAAGACATACATCTTGGAATCCCTAATCAGCCTGTCCCCTCAGAAACTTGTCATAGAAGGCAGTAATAAATCATTCAGGCATTCCCTTCATGAGCCCCACTGAGTGCCATCAATCTAGAGACTGCTAGGAATATACACCAGGCTGAAAATGCAACTGAGTTATGCAACAAACAGAACATGCAGGAAATGTCCTACTCTTATGATGAGAGTAGTGCTAAAATTGTTCAAGGAAAAAAACACAATTCAGTATGAGCCTAAAGAAATAAACCCAAGCTAATAACATGACCAAAATGTTGACCAGCCTATAAAACATTATTTTAATATTCCTCTGTGGGTTTTTCCATCTGGCAAGAACACACACAGAAACTGTGACACAGTCACCTTCTGCTTCATGCTCTGCAGTCTCCAGCCCCATAGTCTGTAGCACATGTCTGATGGTAATATATGTACATTGTAAAGGGTTCTGAGCTTAGAGATCTACATGAATAAGAACCTCTGCACATCAAAAATTATTTGAAACTTTGCCATGGAACAAAGCCTGCTGAAGTTCCCACTGATGTCCTTTCTCTTTAAATAAAAACCACAGAGCATAACTTTCTTGCATTCAGCATCTCTCTGGCTGTTAAGGAATGAGTGCAAGGCTTGATGTGACTTAGCTGTTTCTGAGAGTTGACCTTCTTTGGATATTGCTAACACAGGACCTATGAAATTCATGTGGTAGGTTTAATTAGTATCTTTGGATTTAAACCTAAATATTAGTAGGTTTCATTAAATCCTTGGAATTTGATTTTTAAGATCACACACACCTTTCCCAGTACCTCACTAAAACTGCAGCAGAATGCCACAAGGTAAGAGCAGCTTCATGCAGTAATTACAGATAGCTGAGGTGATAGAGTTCAGTGACAAGTGTTCATTGGCAGCAAAGCTCATTCAGGAGCTTCTGCCTCTTGTTCAGCTGAGTATGCACATCACAGAATCACAGGATATTCAGAGTTGGAAGAGACCCACAAGGATCACTGAGTCCAACTCCTGGCCCTGCACAGGACATCCCCAAGAATCACACCCTGTGCCTGGGAGCATTATCCAAATATTTCTTGAGCTCTGTCAGGATTGGTGCTGTGATCACTGCCCTGGGGAGCTGTTCCACTGCTCAGCCACTCTCTGGGTGAAGAACCTTTCCCTAATATCTAACCTAAACCTCCCCTGACACAACTTCAGCCCATTTTCTTGGGTCCTGTCACTGGTTAGCAGAGAAAAGAGATCAGTGCTGCCCCTCCACTTCCCCCATGAGGAAACTGCACACAGCAATCAAGTCTCCTCTCATGGTCCTCTTCTCCAGGCTGAACAGACCAAGAGACCTCAGCTTCCCCTCAAGGCCCTTCATCATCTTCGTTGCCCTTGTTTGGACACTCTCTAATAGTCATATCTTTCTTCTGCTGTGGTGCCAAGTACTGCACAAGATAAGCTGAGGCTGCACCAGTGTAGAGTAGAGCAGGACAATCACCTCCCTCAGCCAGCTGGTGATGCTCTGTGACACCCCAGGACATGGTTGGCCCTCCTGGTTGCCAGGGCAAACTGTTAACTCTTATTCAACCTGCCATGGACCAGGACCCCCAGGGCCCTTACTGCAGCACTATTTTCCAGCCCCACATTCCCCAGTCTGTACACCCATCCAGGGTTGCCCCATCCCAGATGCAGAATCCAGCACTATTCCACACATCTGAATTAAACACACCACTGTTTCTGCCCAGGCTGAGTTAGATACATAGATAATAACAAATGTCAACATAGTGATAATGCTTTGGGTGAAAGGGAGATGTCTACATGACAGATTTTTAAGCAATATTTTCTTGGGGATAAAGAAAAATATACCCTGCATCAGCTGAAATTCAAACCTGTTTTGTGATTGAGGATCAATGTTTGTATACTGCTTATCAATGGAAGTCAATACCTTACCATCACAAAGCACATCTGTTATGCAGACATTCAATAGTGTTATTCTTCTCTCACTTTAAAAGAGATTACAGAGATAATCTATTTTCTAAATAGAAAGACAAAACAATACATTTCCCTTTCACTTTTGGAGAACACATCTCCTGAGTCCTGGAGTTCGTCAAAATGAAAATCTTTTGTGAAGACCTTTTAAAAAATGTTTGTAAACCATTTGCATTGTGTGGCTTTGGATTACAAAACTGCAAGTGTCCCCATGAGCAGGCAGCTCTCAAGCTTTTTCTAATGAATCAGCAGGATGAAAACTTCCTCTCACAATAATATTGGACCTCAAGATTAACTCACCTGACTTTTATTTTGCATCCATTTCACCAATGTATTTGTTTTGCCTGTTAGGGAAGTTTTGAATATACCAGCAACACTACAATACTATACAACTTTGGGACGACAGGACGAGCGGAGCAATAAAAGGAAAATGAGGTTTACAGTAGTTGCACCATTTATTTTACTATGGAAGAGAGAGACATTATCATGCTACTTGCTATAAACCCAGTTGTTGTTGGGCATGTCCCCAGGCTGTGCACCTCAAGAAAACTGCAACTTCAATAATCATTTGCATGTCACATGATTGTATATATTAACAGAGCACAGACTGGGATGAAGATTTGCTTCTGCTGGAAGTGTCGCTATAGAATCAACTACAAGGCAGGTTCTGGCAAAAATAACAGTGTAAATCTACAGACTTCATGTCACAAGTCCATTGACCAGAAGTGCAAGAGAGGAAAACAAAATTTCCCTGAATAATTGAGCAAACCTAAACTTCCTATACCTGTTGTGGAACATTGAACGACCTGAGAGAAATCAGAAGTAAACTCATGGCTCTGCATACATGTCATATACAACAATAAGTCATCAAAGCAGCACTTACAGCTAGAGAATATCAGAGGACAGGAGTGTTCATCCATGGGGAAGTTGTGCAGCTGCAGTTGGCACTCAGCATTGATGGTAAGCCTACGGAGAAACCAAGGGTCTGTTACCACCTGCAGCACAAGGAACAGCCAGAAAGGCAGAGCAACCTCAAGTGTCATGCAAGAGTGCTTGGACATCCATCAGTAAGGCCTGAAAGGAAAGAACTGTATTTGCAGATTGGTCGTTGCCTGATTAAGACTGACCAAAACCAATGATAATTATCTAAAATAATTTCAGACACATCATTAAGAGTTTCTTGATCCCAAGAAACCTGCGAGTATTTTTTTTTCTCTAGACAATTGGTCATTGAAGAACCCAGGAAGGAAACAACTATTCTGTACAAAAATAACAGGAAATATGGCTGGTGTGGTGGTATGCAATTCCACAAAACCCAAACATCATATAGAATCTTATAAGGAATATTCTCCACATGTACTTACAGCGTGAAATAAAATTATTTCTATCACTTTGGGCTGTCTCCCAAAAACTTAATAAACCTCTATAAGCCATTCTCAACTGCACAGATGTAACAAACAGATCAGCAGAAGCATCTTCAGCCCAACTTGAGAGCTTGTTTTATGTGACATCCCTAACGCAAAGAACGGAGCTGATTTTAAAATTACTATTAAAAATAAATAATCTTCAGTCTAATAGCTTACAAAATGAACCTGTTTACCCAGGTAGATTGAATTAAGTGCTAGTTTATTGCACAGTCTTTTCCAGGAAACACTAGAGTGTTGCATACCTGAATTTATGCAGCATGCGTGGGCCATGTGGGTTTTTTCCTTTTGGCTTTGATTTGGTGTTTTGTTTGTTAGTTTATTTTAGGGTTTGTTTGTTTGGGTTTTTTTTTTAACTAAATCAAAAGCTAACAAAGCAGGAAGGGACAGGTTTGTGTCTCAGATTGAGGATGGCACAGAGATAACCTCTGTCTTGGAAAAGGTCACCTGTGTCACTGCACTGACACTAGAAGAGGATTTGCAGTGCTACAGCAGGAGGACATTCACACCCAAAAGCTGGAAGGGAAGAGGATGAGAAGGTATGGAGCATGATTGAACCTTGCACACCTTCTCCTGAGCACATAACACCCATCAACACCTGAGAGTACCAGGGCATACAGGAGTTATCTCTGTGGGGTCTTTCCAATTTTGAGTTACACAGTGTTAGCAACAAACAGTGCTCATTCTAACAACTCTTCCTATGTAAAAAAGGAGCTTGACCTGAGTGGCCCAAAAGGACTCCAAACATTTTTCGCAAACTAAAAGTGTTCATTTCACTGGGTCATATATTAACCTCTCTTTTAGTTGTTTTAGACATATTTTGCAGTCCAGTTTTTTTAGTGATAGGTATGTAGGTCTAAGTACTGTTAGGCAGATGATTAACTTGCCCTGAAATACTGAAACAACTTAACAGAAAAAATCCCACCAAAACACCTAATCAAAAGCCCCTCAAAAAAAAAAAACCCAGCAACCCAACCAAGAGGGTATTGGACTTGACATCTTAATCTTCAAAGGGAAGGGACACTAAAAATATCAATATCTTTTCCAACTGTTTGTTTGCTTTATTATTGTTTGTCAAAGACTTTCTATTGGAGCTCAACTGCAACTGTAAGTATGATCAGAATATGCAGTTACACTGAGAGGGCTGAGCACAACCACTAAAGAAAATGTAGCATGAAAGGGACATTTCTGAAACAATTTGCCATGTGGAATATGGCTGTTGGCAGAACTCAGTTCTGGACAACTCCTCTCTTCCACAAGCAAACACATATTTTGATTTCTATGATCTTTTTTAAATGCAAATATATACAGTATTTCTAATAGCACATAGTTGATGGTATCCCAAAGATTAGAAAAACTCTAAAAGCTTTTCCTCCAGCAATTCATCCTTGTGATGAGATGTGACAGACTATCTTTCAGCATGACTTATCTGAAGAATGGAGTATTGGCATTAGCATGAATCTAGAAATACTTTATCCAGCCCTTCATCTAAATCTGATCAGAAAGGACTTTGACAGGTCTTATGGGACTACATACTCCTGATTTTATTACGACCACTGAAAAGCACAAATTTTACAATTTAGACAGATCCATTCCCAATTCTCAAGGTTTCTTTGTTAGAAAGACAAGATTTTGGTTTTGAAAGTTGACAGTACTTATGCCTGAATATGTCAATATTTGTAAAGTCAGGTAAACACCAGGAAGAAAAGAGCAAAAGAGAACAAAGATACTGCTGAAAATTGCTACTACTGCAGCAGAGGCAGGAGAAACTTTCAGCCCTGCCCCTTGCCAAGCTCTCACCTGAGAGTGTACAAGATTTTGCCATCGTTCCAGATGCGCAGGAGCTGGTTGGGGGTGGTGATCCAATGAGCCTCTGCTGTCTTGGAGTTCCGAAATATTGTGTCTGGGATCCAGATCAAGCCAACCATGTTGCTGTTCAGGGTCAGGATCTTCATGGTGCTGTTGAAGCGCAGACGACTATCTGTCCACGTCTGGGCAAAAAATATATCAATTTGATACTCCTGCAAAGAAAGGATGATACACCAATTGAAATCAGTTCCACACTTCCCACTCCTATTTGATGTTTGATTCGGTCTATTCTGCTGTAGAGCAACAGGATGTGTTCTGGCCAATGGAGCTATGTTTTGAGTTTTTTACTGCCTGAGAAACTTTTTTATTTCCTTTTTTTCCCCTCCTTTTCTTCCTTCCTTTTTTTTAATCTCTGGCCAAACATCCCACTTGCCTTGGTCCTGTGCCATAACAATTTCTGCATTAGCAAGTTCTTCTCCATTGTCTCTGAAAAGTCACAGCTGCAAGGTACAATTTGCAGAGATTTCTTTGTCTTAGGGTAGACTGATAAAAGAGATGAGCAGGACCAACACACGGAAGTTCGAGAATGGCAAATTTCCCTGATTATGGCAGTGCCTTCTAGGAAGGAGGTTGTGTAAATTCATTAAATTAATTTTTCTGTTTGCTACCAATTGTTCAGCCACTCTTTTTCTGGCCACCCTGCAGCAGGATGAAAAGGCATATTTGTGCTCCTGTACAAACACCTCATGCATCCCTAATGCTAAGAGCTGCCCATGAGGAGGATAATATCATGATTTACATGAATTTTGCCCTTTCTTTCATTCCAGGTTTACTACTGTGTTTCTGTAGGAAAACTGTCACAGTATATATAAATGCAGAAATTAAAATACATATGGACAAACAGACAAAATTATACAAGTGAACATAGAAACACATTGATTTATGCATTTAATACCCCATGGAAGAAACTGTATTTGAATTTTTGTGTTTGAATTATGAATTCCAGCCAACAGAGGCTGGGAAATGTCATGTTAAATTTTCTTGCGTTCCTCCTCCTCTTTTCAGACTGCTCTACCTGTGAGTCCCATGGAAAGAGCCACAGGACTGTGCCATGTCACACCCTCTCGGTGCTGCAGGGCTGGCTGTGGCCATGATGGGCATGGGGGCTGGAAAACATGGTCTGTCTTTCTTTTTGACCACTCTGAACTTCTTTTTGTTGCATTTTTGTTTGTCTATTCCTAAGTTTTAAAAGAGAAGGTGTAAAAAGAAATAATATTATACAACAGTATTGGGTATTTTTTCTTTGTAGATACTAGAACTTGTAGTCTGAAGTGAGGACAGAGGTTTTGCAAAGAGTCACCTGTTTCTCCTGCTCTATTATATTTTTGGCAGGTTATTCTTTCAAAGCTGGTGTTATAACACCAGGAAATTGAATTCACTGGCATTGTAATCCAAGTCCAAAATACACTCTGGGCCTCTCATCTCTAGGCAGCAAATCATCAAAAGGTGCATAAGTGGTGCTAACATGCATCAAAAAACAGGTACTAGATCACCTTAGGAATTAAAGCACAGCCACAAAAGCATTAAGAACCTTTTTCCTTCATGGTTTATTTCAATACCATTTTTCACTTTTAGCTTTATTTTCTCAGGGAAGGCAACAGATTTGAATCTGAAGAGACTTTTCTTTCATCTTGATGACATCTCCACACATTGAAAGGATGCAAAGTAATGTACTCAGTGGACACTTATTATTCAAAAAAACCCACCCCTAATTCACCAGTTTCTAGATGGCAGAGCATAAATCTTGTTTCTTTACAATCAACCTCATTTTAGTCTTTGAAAGTCTAGTGACAAGTGTTTGGAACATTCAGCTTCTGTAGAGAAGTATATGCCAGACATGTCTATGGGTTTCTCCAAATGCTGAGGGAGTAGAGTTGGTTTTTTTTAGCTCACATGTGAGAATCAATATTTATAGAATCAGAAACCATTTGTATACAGCTGGCTAATGCCAGTGCTGTCTTTTCACAGGACAAGTTTTTGCATGAGATTCATATCTGAGCTTATTTCATATGAATGCTTTGTTTTGACTAAATTTAGGAGCAACCATAATTCCTTTCTAGTATATCATATGCATTTAATGGTATTTAGGATTTTAGGATTTAGGATATTCAGTATTTCTACCCTACCAAAAATAAAGAAAGACCTTAAGCTCCCTAATACATTGCCCTGGGAAGATCCTGCAGCTAGATCTGAGCAAAGTGGACACCAGGAACAGGATAGATGTAGCATTGTGGTTTCTAATCAGGTAAACTACTCTGGCTGAGAGGTCATGTTTACACCACTGCTCAACTCCCATTTGGCATCTAGTTTCCTTATTACTGCAACTGGAATGTGCCAGTAAGGATCATGACTCAAAAGATCCCTGCAATGGGCCACTGTAACTCCATTCACCTTAATAAAACCATTTCAACACGAATCAAATGGTTCACAGATCTTCTGAGTTAATTGGTTCTTAAAAAAATGCATTTTTTCTTTTTGTAAACTGAGGTCACATAAAGCAAAGCAACATTTACGAAGAAAAGTCAATTACGGTTGTTTGAAATTAGTTGCACTGACTTTTTCCACACTTCACCCATTTTCTTTTGTTATTTAAAGCAGAATGTGCAAACTACAAACCAAAATTTTCCCAGCATAAATGAATACACATTTCCATTTAATATCTGAATTGCAATTCTCTCCACTAATCCCTTTCAGAAGTGAATGCTCAATCAGTACATCCTTTACATTAATCTTTGGAATTGCTTCAGTTTTTAACCAAGCATATAATGGGATATGATATTTCTATATTCACTCTAGTATGAAGGGACAGAGGTCACTTTGGAACTGGCACTCAGTTCTTCACTTCTAATGGTTCCAAGCCTGTGCATATGTCAGGAAAATTACCTCTCTCTTCACTGACAACAGATACTCCATTCCCAGTGAAGTCAACAGCTCCATATGCTCTTTGCACAAAGCTGGTGCAGTGATCTCCAACACGAAACTGCCAGAAGAAAGGTTTCTATGTTGGTCTTATAGACAGGTCAGCATCATATCATATAAGAAAGTAATGCTCTTCATTTGCTAGCTAATACCTGCCTTTTTAGACCTTTAATAAATGCAATGATTGCACTTGGAGGGTTCAAGCAGGACATCAGGTTGAAGTGAAATGATGCCTCGTGCGAAGCAACATCCTACAGCTCAACAATATTCTGTATGTTCTGATCTATCACTGCACTGTTAATATCCTTCTGATTCTTTTTTTTCCATTCTATTTTTTTTTTTTGCAGCAACCATAGACTAGGACAATGAACACAGGAAGAAGTATGAAACAGCAAAGTTTTCAGTAAGACTTCTTCCCAGCAGCAAAAAGTTGAAACCATGTTCTCCATGAAATGCCAAGGTCAGGTAGAGTAAAGTGTTCTGTCACTATGTTTTCTTGGCTTGGCAGCACATGGTTTGCCATGCTACCAAAACAGGCTCAAGATTTTTCAGATTTAACCCCATATTCACACTGTGCTGGGCTGCATGAACTGCAGCTCCAGAGCACTCAAACTTCCTAAAAGTCATTCTCCTTGAGAAGAAGGGACAACCCAAATGGGAAAAATTAGTTCTACATGTTAACATGAAGGGAAATTCTAGGGAAATTTGATTTCTTTTGGTACATATAGATACTATCTGAAAGAATATTAAATTTCTCTGATGGGAAATTCATTATAAACTTGAAAGGAATAAGAGAAGTATCATCAGTTTTAATGGATTTCATTTCATTTGGCTTTAAAAGTAAATTCATGAAACATGCTAAGTGTTAAATTCCCTACTCTTTAAAACTTAATCAAAATGAGAACTGTTTGAGGATTTCACAATCTGTCCAAAGATGATTACATAAGGAATTTTTTTAGTATAAAGTAACAGATTTTAAGAAATTGAAAAAGCACTAATTTGAGAATGTTTCCTAGTGGAAGACTCCTGACATATAGGAGTACTCAGCTGAGTCTCTAACCACACAGCATTTGGCCTTCGAAGAAATTTTGAATTATCAATATTTTTTACCCTTTCTTGAAGGACCAATGCTTTTTAGTAAAACTAAATCAGTTTATTTGTGTTTTGTTTGACCTTACGAAAATATAAACTCATTTCTGGCATCTAATGTGTATCTCTGAGGGAAATGCCTTTGTTTATTTTTTTACCCTTCGATGATGAAAAGCTTACGACAAAAGAATTTGTCCTTGGTTCTTCTTTGCAGCTTACCCTTAAATGAATGCATTATCTTCTACATTTCATCATGTAAAAAGACAGTTTGTTCTACTTGCAGGATTTCTGCTTGCAAGAAACAGTACAATCTGAAAATTATAAGCAACATTCTGTCACTGAAAACCTCTATCTCACCTACTGCAAGGCAATCTTTGAAAAAGAGATTTTAAACTTGGCAGCTAACAACACTCACTTAACTTCCAAAAGCGACTCCTAAAACCAAGAAAGCAGATTCAAGTCCTTTTACCTCTACAGGACACAAGTCATTGTCTCATGTAGAACATTTCTAGCCATTCAAATTTTATCAGTTTTCCTTCAAATTGGAAACATTTGCTGTGACAAATGATCGAATGAGATGAGGGAACTGAGATGGCATTTTTCTGTTATATGTTTATGTCCAAAGCAAGAAGCTAAAGGCAATTTTTCTTTGATTTGTGGATGGGGCACATAACTCAGATTTAGCAACAGTATTACCTGCAAATAACTGCACATAGTCAAGGCTCCAACTACTTGATTTTAGCTTTCTTTTTTTTTTACCTTTTCTAATGTGGTTTCATTAGTGCCTTGAAAATAATCAAGTCAGCAGTGAACTATTTGCCCTTCAACTGTGTAGGAATGATTAATGATTGGGAACACCTTGAAAGTGTCACTGTCTGAGGCCTCTGTAGTCACAGAGAAAACTATTATGCTTTTCCACCAAGTCTTTCATTGTTTTCTCAGCCAGAAGAGGAGCTAACCTGTTATTGGCAAGGCATGAAGTTTTTCTCCCACCAGGATGTATCATTTTAGCCATAGGTTAATCCTGGCAGATAGGATTTAATTTGCTGTCAGGCTCAGGTGATGGTTTGAATGACTATGGATAATATGATATGCCTTTGTCATTTCTGCTGCAGCCTTCTCATTTCCTGCGTTTTCACAACTC